TTCTACCGCTTTCGGCACATTCACCGACAATCTGCTGCAGTCTCTAGCATAAATGAGACAATAAGACCGCCGAATAAGCCAAAACAAACCACGTCTCATCTCCTAACCGCGTTCGAAACCTCGCCACATCAACAGTATGAGAGCACAGAGCTGCAGGTTCATTCTAATTACGGCAATTTTTCTGTTTACTAAAAAATACATAATGTTCGATATCGTCCCCTAACGCCTAACAAAGCTTGAAAAGGAACTAAATGGAAGGAAATTTTGTCTGTTTAAACAGAAGCATAAGTAATTTAAAATTTCTAAAATAAATAATAGCGAAAGTTGGAGAAAGTACATCGACTAGTGATCATGCAGAAACGGTAAAAACGATAATGTTATATTCATGAAAAATACATTCACTACCAAATAAAGGAACACTAATATAATTAGTCTATATTGAGGATGTGTAAACCGTGTGGATTAGTTGCCTCTAAGTTTCAGACGGTTCGTACTTCTATTTGTTGTCTTCGACAGTGACTGCATGATTGGCTCCACTCTTATGAGAGTTAGAAACTTTGTTAATCACAGTCTCAGAGATAAGATTAGGATTTGGAATGATACAAAAATAACATATAGCCCACATGCTCCTACTTTGTCTCTAACGGATTCCAGCTGAATAGTTGAAATCTACGGAATAGATTTGGACAAACCGAATGCGTGGAAGCAAACACACATGGATCTCCCATTAAACTACTTTCTTTTCTACGTATAATCAGATCCGTCAATATTTAGGTGTCATTTTACCAACTGGTCTAACAGAGCACACAGAAACTTCCGTAAGGACATTTTGTCAAGGTTCATTTTATATAAAGCTACTAAAAAGACCTAACGCACTTCATAATGCCATGAGGAAAGTTTTCGTTGCTTCCACTGCTTATTTTACGTTCATATATTGGCAGTCGGTTTGTAAACTGCGAAGATGTGACTTCTCAGCGCAAAGGCTATGAATTGATTGAGAAAGTCTTTTGAATAACCGGTCTTTATCTTTATCGTGGTGATAGATTTTGGCACGTAATCGATTTTGCGCTTTCGTACGATCTCAAGGCAGTTATCTTTTTGTGTCAGCACTCGTCCTCTACATGAGGAGCGCCTCGTTATCCGTTAAATTTAGATTCGTCACTGTGTAGACTGAAGCAGATTCATGGTTTGTAATCCTTTACCTGGCCCATATTGTTTTAAACTTTAACGCCGTTAAATACCAGTGTTTGAACTCTTCGGCGATTCGCTCAAGGTAAGAGTCTTCTTTCTGCTCGTTTTATTTTTTTATTTACGCTGCTCTGCTCTTCTTTTATTACTGGATCATGTTTTGAATATTTTGAGTTCGCTTCATGCCTTAAAGTAGTTACAATTATATACATACCGTTTTCAACTGTCGACTGTTTTTCATTTTTTGCTGAAAAATGGAATTTTTACCGATCCTATCAGATCACTCTACTTTTAGTAATTCTCCAACTCATTCATTCATTCACTGACTTATTTGTTTATTCATTCATCTGCGGTATACTTTCGTCCTGGCGTGCACACTCACGTAACAAGACGTGGTTAAAACACATCAAGAGACGCATTGAGCAAAGCTATCACAAAACTACCAGCTATTGTTACCGGTGTTGCTTGTCATTCCAATTCCATGTGACACCGGGACATCAGTGATCGTTAATCTTACGTCATTCGGAGGAATGCTTCCGTGTCTCGAAACCAGTTAAGGTGAATGCTTCTGACTTTGTTTTTTCATTCTAATAGTTTGGAGAATGACGCTCATATGGCGTGGGTATCAGAAGGATGTGTTCAAGATATCTGTATATAATTTAAGTGCAGTTGTATCTGTTGGAATGTCGGTCTTCCTTCACCTTCATGACTGGGCCATTTTGATGCCTTTCTTCTCATGAAGTTGATGGTACGGTGCTGATCTTTCTCTAAGCTATCAGCCAAGAGTGCCTTAGTGTAGAGGCAGAGTCTGTAGCAAGCATACCGTGCAGTTTCCTGTTTCCTTCCAACCGCGGATCACTTATTTATCCGCCTTGAATGGAAGAAGAGCGACTTATTCTGACAAGAACTTGACGGGACCTATCGGCCATGAGTTCGACGTCCTACTGACTGAGCAACCCCAATATAAAGCAATGTGTGTTAAATGACTCACTCAAGGAAATTCGTGAGTGAGACTAAACCATCTTCGAGCAGAGTTCGAAGCAAATTCGTAGATACCGTAATGATACGCCACAATTGCGTAATCGTAGTAACAGTTGTTAAAATTTTTGATTTTTTGTTGTTGATGGTTTATTCGAATATTTATTCCAGTTTCAAATTTATTATATTTTAACATATAATCTAATCTTTATTGCACCCTAAGGTTTGATGTTCTGTAAGGCTGTGCACTTTCTTTTGAATGCTTTATGCATTCAAAAATGGTTTCCATTTATTGTATATATGTACATTTTTAAGATACCACAAAATAGATTGGCTTCCTACTTTGAATTGCTCATGAAATCCATCTGTGCACGAGGATGTCTGATCTCCAGGCAAGCGAGGCCTCGTCTTCAAAACTGAGTTACGGCTGTTGCGATAGTGCAGCAGTGGTTAATCGGCAAAATAGTTGTTTGCTACGGTCTCTAATCTTGATTTAGCCTTTTATTCAAGGCGAGGGCGAACGGGATACCTATTAATTAACAATATCTTTTCAGTGATTTACGTTATTCATCACCTCACTTATTAGGTATCAAATTCTACAAAACTTTGATTGTAAAGGAGAAGAAAATTTGTAACAGTTGGAATGCCGGTCTGCTATAGACTTTCATGATGGGGCCGTTCTAGCGTTTTTCTTTCCATGCAGTTAATGGCGGACGCTGATCTCAGTTTCCATGCTATCGGCCCGGAGTGTCTTTTTTAAGACAGAGTGGACACCATGTTCATGAAAAACATAGTGTGCAATCTTCTGTTTCATTTCCACAGAGTGGTCCTCATTTTGCTCTCTCTGAAGTTATAAAGCAAACTTGCCAAGCGGGGATGGGGGCTTGATCTCAGAACCTTTCGAGTCTGAGTTAGAAGCACTGCCTACTGAACAACCGCGGTCCGAAGCAACGTGTGCCAAATTCGCTGCTCAAGGGAATTGATTGCTAAGACAAATATTGCTGCTGGCCAGAATCGAATTCGGAGCCTCTGGGGTTCAGATTGATCTCTTGCGCACTATGCCACCAGATTTCTGCAAGACGGCAACCAGAAACAAGCGGCAATTATCTAAAAGCCCAGTAGCGAGCATGAGCAGGAAAGAACCAATTTGGCCGAGATTGCGATAGGCAGGTGGTCGACTCTCAAACAGTATAAAATGAGTCACCAATGGACATAGTGATCTTTTTTGCGTGATCTGTTCGGTAGATCGGTGAGTCACAGAAAATTGTCCTCGTGGGAATCAGAGGCGTATCACATGGTTAAATTCATCGTCCAACATCTCTGGTATACCGTTGAAACTGTGATTTTTCTCACCATCTTTTGGGTACTTTCTTGACCCCCCCCCGAACCGAATTCAAAGGTCACTAACTCTAAGTGCAT